CTCCAGACCCTTGATCATTTTAGTCGCCCTCCTCTGGACACATTCCAGCTTGTCAATATCTCTCTTGAATTCCTGGGTGGGACGTAGAGGGAGATACATTCAGACAGATACACTGGACCGGAACCGTACAGGGTTTTGTAGGTCAATACCAGCACCTTGAATTGTGCTCGGAACTGAACTGGCAGCCAGTGGAGCTGACACAACAGGGGGGTGGTATGCTCCCTGTATGACGCTCCTGTAAGTACTCTGGCTGCCGCTCGCTGGACCAGTTGAAGTTTGCGAACAGTCTTCAAGGGCAACCCCACGTAGAGTGTGTTGCAGTAGTCTATTCGGGATGTAACAAGAGCGTGGACCACTGTGGCCACCAAAGTTGGAGCTTCCATGTCCCCTCTCCTGATGTTGGGAATGATTGGTGTTTCCCTTCCATTGTTTTACAACAACTTGGAGTACCTAATATTTTAGAGTGTGAGGGAACTTATTTCCCAACTAAAAGATAATAATAATAATAATTGTAATAATACACTTTATTTATAACCCATTGCCATCTCCCCAAAGGGGACTCGGTGTGGCTAACGTGAGGCCAAGCCCAAAATAATACAACATAATAAACACACAATAACAAAATACATCATAACAAAATATAAAATAATAAAATCAACAATATAAAACAACATGGTAAAACCAGACACAGAGGGCGGGCCAAATGTATGAGGTAAAATGTTAAAAAAGTTTAAACCCTGGGTGAGATAGGGATAAAAATGCATTTGCAGGAAAGGAGCCCAACAGGGAAGGACCACCGGATTTAGCCATTTTAGGGGCGATAATAATAATAATAACAACAACAACAACAACATTATGTAACACGTTTTTTGTTCCTCGGTTATAAATGTCATTTCCTAATTGCTTTTATCATACAAAACATGGGAAAAGATGATTAAACAGTGAAAACTTAGTTTTTGATGGGACGTCCTGCAGTACATTTTGCTATAATTTTCCAGTGAGTGTCTCATAGAGTCTCAACCAATTCAACATAGTTTGTGGCAGACACAAAAATGAACTTTCTGGAGTAGAACACCTCACTACCTCTGAGGATGCTTACCATAGATGCAGGCGAAACGTCAGGAAAAATGCCTCTAGAACATGGCCATATAGCCCGAAAAAACCCCACAAGAACCTAGAACAACTATTTTCGAAGTGAGTACCCCACAATTCATAGAATTATAGAATCAAAGAGTTGGAAGAGACCTCCTGGTCCATCCAGTCCAACCCCATTCTGCCAAGAAGCAGGAATATTGCATTCAAATCACCCCTGACAGATGGCCATCCAGCCTCTGCTTAAAAGCTTCCAAAGAAGGAGCCTCCACCACACTCCGGGGCAGAGAGTTCCACTGCTGAACGGCTCTCACAGTCAGGAAGTTCTTCCTCATGTTCAGATGGAATCTCCTTTCTTGTAGTTTGAAGCCATTGTTCCACATCTCCCGGGAAGCAGAAAACATGCTTGTTCCCTCCTCCCTGTGGCTTCCTTTCACATATTTATACATGGCTATCATATCTCCTCTCAGCCTTCTCTTCTTCAGGCTAAACATGCCCAGCTCCTTAAGCTGCTCCTCATAGGGCTTGTTCTCCAGACCCTTGATCATTTTAGTTGCCCTCCTTTGGACACATTCCAGCTTGTCAATATCTCTCTTGAATTGTGGTGCCCAGAATTGGACACAGTATTCCAGGTGTGGTCTAACCAAAGCGGAATAAAGAATGGGGAGCATGACTTCCCTAGATCTAGACACTATGCTCCTATTGATGCAGGCCAAAATCCTATTGGCCTTTTTTGCCGCCACATCACATTGTTGGCTTATGTTTAACTTGTTGTCCACGAGGACTCTAAGATCTTTTTCACACGTACTGCTCTCGAGCTATGCATCCCCCATTCTGTATCTTTGCATTTTGTTTTTTCTGCCTAAGTGGAGTATCTTGCATTTGTCACTGTTGAACTTCATTTTGTTAGTTTTGACCCATCTCTCTATGGTTGTTGAGACAGTTTTAACTAGTGGATTTTAACATCAAGATGAGTGATTTTAATGCATTTGTATGTGTATGGTCTAATATGTTTCGGCATTGAATTTTTGCCGTTTATATGTTGTGCTCCGCCCTGAGTCCCCTTTGGGGTGAGAAGGGCGGAATATAAATGCTTTAAATAAATAAATAATAATAATAATAATAATAATATATGTCATTTATTACCTATCTGTCCTGATGGCTTGGGGTGGGTTGGGTACAACAAATTCAAAAACAAATGAACATAAAAATACAATGAACAACACAATTACATAGATAAACACACACACACAAACACATACATCTATTTATATGAAAAGATATACCAAACGCAGCTACAGAATTAACAAGAAGAATGTTGGGATCTGCCCCTTAGTTGACTATTGCTTTCTGTGCTTTCTTCTAATGGGATTTTCTTCTTTTTCCTCAAAAAAGAAATCAGTTGGAGAATGAGAACCTCAGGGAGCCAGCTGCAACAAAGCAAAAGAGGATGAAAACAAAAAACGGGATCCAAGTGAAAAATATAAAGAGCTCGTCTACATGTGAGCGGACTGATCAGTCAGAACCTCTAACCTCAGAATCAAGTAAAATGGAGTGTCCTGGCTGTGGGAGAGTTTGCAAATGCCATGCACAGTTAAACATAGATGCCAGGCTCTCCAAAGGAGATAAATCGGGGAAATCCATGGATTGTGGGAAGAGCTTCAGGGGGAGTACACATCTGTGTTGCCATCAAAGAGCCCACACAGGGAAGAAGCCATATAAGTGCATGGAATGTGGGAAAAGCTTCAGTCAGAATGGACATCTGCGTTCCCATCAAAAGACCCACACAGGGGAGAAGCCATACAAATGCATTGAATGTGGAAAGAGCTTCTGTGACAGTGGAATTTTGCGTATACATCAAAGAATACACACTGGCGAGAAGCCATACAAATGTATGGAATGTGGGAAGAGCTTCAGTGACAGTAGGAATTGTAGAAGGCACGTAAGGACCCACACAGGACAGAAACTCTATAAATGCATGGAATGTGGAAAGAGCTTCAGCAGGAGTGACCATTTGAATTCCCATCAAAGATTGCACACAGAGGAGAAGCCATATAAGTGCAAGGAATGTGGAATGGGCTTCAGTCAAAGTGTAAAGCTTCTTTACCATCAAAGGATCCACATGGGAAACAAACCTTTTCAATGCAGGGAATGTGGAAAGAGCTTCACTGATAGTCGAACATGTGATGAACATCTAAAGATACACTCAGGAGAGAGACCATACAAATGCATGGAATGTGGGAGGAACTTCATTCAGAGGGCACATCTGCGTTGCCATCAAAGGACCCATACAGGGGAGAAGCCATATAAGTGCATGGAATGTGGGAAAAGTTTCAGTCGGGGTACACATCTGCGTTCCCATCAAAGGACCCACACAGGGGAGAAGCCGTACAAATGCATGGAATGTGGAAAGAGCTTCTCAGAAAGTTGCAGCTTGCAAGTACATCAAAGATTCCACACAGGAGAGAAGCCATATAAATGCATTGAATGTGGAAAGAGCTTTCGTGAGAGTGGGAGTTATAGAACTCATGTAAGGACTCACACAGGGGAGAAGCCATACAAATGCTTGGAATGTGGGGAAAGCTTCAGTCATAATGCATCATATAAGAGACATCTAAGGACCCACACAGAAGAAACCACATAAGTGCATGGAATGTGGAAAGGCCTTCAGCAATAGTAGCTCATGTAGGAAGCATTGAACAACTCACATGGGTGAAACCATGGTAATGCATGAAATGTGGGACGAAATTCAGTGGACATACTTATTCTGTTGGGAATAGCAACCTTCTCAAGCCTCTGCTAGCTATTTGTTATGTACATAATTGCTTACTGTATTATATGTGCATTGGTTTGCAATTTTACCTAATCTCTTTGTTGTGGGAGGGTCTGCAGACCATGAGACCAGGACTCAGACTCCATTTTAGTTAGTAGAAGCCAGTAGACCAGTGGTTCTCGACCTTCCAAATGGTGCAATCCCTTACTACAGTTCCTCATGTTGTGGTGACCCCCAACGATAACATTATCTTCATTGCTACTTCATAAATGTAATTTTGCTTCTGTTATAAATTGTAATCGTATCAGATATGCAGGATGTGTTTTCATTCACTGTACAAAATTTGGCACAAATACCCAATACACCCAAATTTGAATACTGGTGGGGTTGGGGGGATTGGTTTTGTCATTTAGGAGTTGTAGTTCTGGCATTTATAGTTCACCTACAATCAAAGAGCATTCTGAACTCCACCAGCGATGGAATTGAACTAACTTGACACACAGAACTCCCACGACCAACGGAAAATACTGGAAGGGTTTGGTGGGCCTTGAGTTTTGGAGTTGTAGTTCACCTACATCCAGAGAGCACTGTGGACTCAAACCATGATGGATCTGGACAAAACTTGGAACAAATACTCAATATGCTGATATGCTAATATGGGGAAATTAGACCTTGACATTTGGGAGTTGTAGTTGCTGGGATTTTTAGTTCACCTACATTCAAAGAGCATTCTGAACCCCACCAACTATAGAATTGAGCCAGACTTCCCACATAGAACCCCTATGACCCACAGAAAATACTGTTTTCTGATAATCTTTGGTGACCCCTCTGATACCCCCCTCCGGGGTCCCGACTCCCAGGTTGAGAAACGCTGCAGTAGACTCTTAGAGAGGGTAGAAACCATCTGTATTCCTTTAGAAGATGACAAGGACAGTTATGCTTTAGACTTCAGTGGGTTCAGAAGTATACACTTTAGACTTCAATGCAGGAATAGTATGTTTAGAACAGCGTTTCTCAACCTGGGAGTCAGGACCGCTGGGGAGGGGGTCGCGAGGGGATGTCAGAGGAGTCACCAAAGACCATTGGAAAACACAGGATTTCCTGTTGGTCATGGGGGTTCTGTGTGGGATGTTTGGCCCAATTTTATCCTTGGTGGGGTTCTGCATGCTCTTTGATTGTAGGTTAACTATATCCCAGCAACTACAACTCCCAAATGTCAAGATCTGTTTTCCCCAAACTCCAGCAGTATTCACATTTGGGGATATTGAGTATCTGTGCCAAGTTTGGTCCAGATCCATCATGGTTTGAGTCCACAGTGCTCTCTGGGTGTAGGTGAACTACAACTCCCAAATTCAAGGTCAATGCCCACCAAACCCTTCCAGTATTTTCTGTTGACCATGGGAGTTCTGTGTGCCAAGTTTGGTTCAATTCCATCGTTGGTGGAGTTCAGAATGCTCTTTGGTTGTCGTTGAACTATAAATCCCAGCAACGACAACTCCCAAATGACAAAATCAACCCCGCTCCCAAACCCCATCAGTATTCAAATTTGGGCGTTATCGGGTATTTGTGGTAAACTTGGTCCACATCCTGCATATCCGATATTTTTTTCATAATGATTCACGACAGGAGCAAAATTACTGTTATGAAGTAGCAATGAAAATAATTTGGTGGTTTGGGGTCACCACAACACGAGGAACTGTGTTAAGGGGTCGCGGCATTAATAAGGTTGAGAAACACTGGTTGAGAGACTTATTAGATCTCATAGATGCTTTGGACTGTGGATGAATGATTCTAAGAAGATGCCCTGTGTTACCTACACAGAGAAACTACTTAAATTCCTATTGTAACTGGATTCATAAACAAAGTGCCTGTATGCTGTGTACATGAAGTTTGTGAGTAAACCACCTCTGTTACTTTTAAAGGAGACTGTTTCTTCGATCTCTTGAGAGCGTGATTTATTTTATTAAAATATATTTTAAGGGACAGTAGATGTTTCTTGGGCAACTAAAGGAACACTTCCGAAATTCTTCTGAATATATATGTTTTGTGCATTGGCATGTCTTTGTCCCTAGCAGTTCAAAGAAATAACTAGGTACATTAGTTTAACCTAGTTGCCTCACATTAATGCTGGTGAACATTATTTTTTTAAAAGTTGTGACTTCTAATACAGTGATGATGATCAGAGGCAAACTGAGGGTATACTTGTAATGTATTTATAAAAAACCACTGCGAAGAGACCACCAATTTGTAACGATGGCACCCAGTTTGTAACGATGCCACCAATTTGTAACAGTTTGTAAAGGAGCCACTACTTTGTAAGGACTTACTAAATTGATAACACAACTAATAGCTTGTAATGTTGATTTGGTCTTTCTTCAATGTGTAGCGTGGCTTAACTTGAAAGTATTTGTAACAGAGACTTGGCTTTGGAAGAAACTGTAACAAGTTTATTGAAATATAGAAGAAGCTTGATGGTTTCAATGTTTCTTAACTCTTAGAGGCACATATCTTAAGAGGTTACATTTATAACATTTCATAACACAACTCTTGAGAGTTGTTAATGTTCCATTAAACAGGTTTTAAATTTATTTTCCTTTAAAATGTGTTTCTTTAACAGGTTACTTCAGGTACAAGCTTATTCTTTCCTTATGTTATTTCTGTTGCAGTAAAGATCCTTATTAGGGTTCACTCCCCCTTTTGCTCATACACTGACTAATAACATAAATAAGTCAACTCGACCTATCTAAACTGCACAGGCTAAAAGCCAAAACCTTCCTGATTCTCAAGACAGTAGAACCAACCTTCCCTGTAGTTCACTGACTACAGACTGTTTTAAAATGGCTGCCCTGCCAAGTGGCAGTTGGCTCTGCCCCTTTTTCCGTGGCAACTCAGCTCAGAGTGATCTAAGCTGGTTACCACCCCCCCCCCCCAATTATGCTAGTTTAAATACCCTTTTAAAACACCTATCTATTATTATACATAACTGTAGATTAAAATTCACCACAGATACTTTGACCAGAAGCTGACCACCTGGAGTGCCTCTGGTGTGACTGTGAGAAGGTTCTCCATGGTGCATGTGGCAGGGCTCAGGCTGCATTGTAGTAGGTGGTCTGTGGTTTGCTCTTCTCCGCACTCGCATGTCATGGATTCTACTTTGTGGCCCCATTTCTGAAGGTTGGCTCCGCATCTCGTGGTGCCAGAGCGCAGCCTGTTCAGCACCTTCCAAGTTGCCACATCCACTGTTTTAGTGTGGTGAGATGTGTTCCACACTGGGGCATGCGTACTCAGCAGCAGAGTAGCCAAGCACAAGGACAGATGTCTTCACTGTGTCTGGTTGTGATCCCCAGGTTGTGCCAGTCAGATTTTGTATGATATTGTTTCTAGCACCCACTTTTTGCTTGTTCAGGCAGTGCTTCTTGTAGGTCTGAGCACACTCCAGGGTCACTCCCAGGTATTTGGGTGTGCTGCAATGCTCCAGTGGGATTCCTTTCCCATGAGCACCCCTTTGAGGATATGGAAATGAAGTAAAGCCCTGACTTGTTGAATGAAGAGAGGAAGAGGAGTGATCCCCATCTTTTAAAGAGATACCCCCCTTTTGCTCCATAACAGGGAAGGAATTGGAGGGAGGAGAGAGGATGGAGGGCTCCCTTTGTCTTCCTTTGAGAAATAGAGAAGCCCCCCCCCCTTTGGGAAGAGTGGCCCTCGAGGTACCTCCCTCCAGAGGGAGGGAAGGAAGGAGTGTAGGCAAGGGAGGGAGGAAAAAAAAGAAAGAAGGAAAGAAAAGAGTGTAGGGGAGGGAGGGAGGGAGGGAAAGAGGAAGGTAGGAAAGAAAGAGTGTAGGGTAGGAAGGGAGAGAGGAAGGAAGGAAAGAAAGTGTGAGTGTAGGAGAAGAAGGGAGGGAGAGAGGCAAGAAGGGAGGAAGGAAAGAAAGAAGAAGAGTGTAGGGAAGGATGGAAGGGAGGAAAAAAGGAAGTAAAGAAAGTAAGTGTAAGGGAGGGAGAGGAAGGAAGTGTAGGGAAGGGAGGGAAGAAAGAGTGAGCCTAGGGTAGGGAGAGGAAGGAAAGAGCGAGTGTAGGGAAGGGAGGCAGGAAGGAAAGAAAAAGAAAGTCTAGGGAAGGGAGGGAGATGAAGGATAAGAAGAAAGAGTGGAAGGGAGGGAAGGMGGAAGGGAGGAAAGAAAGTGAGTGTAGGGAAGGAAAGGAGAGAGAGGGAGGAAAGAAAGAAAGTACAGGGAAGGGAGGAATAAAGTGTAGGGAAGGGAGGGAGATAAAAAGGAAAGAAAGAAAGAAACAGTGTAAGGAAGGGAGAGGAAGTGTAGGGAAGGGAAGGAGGAAGGGAGGAAAGAGTGAGCATAGGGTAGGAAGGGAGAGAGGAAGGAAGGAAGGAAAGAGCGAGTGTAGGGTGGGAAGGGAGAGAGGAAGGAAAGAACGAGTGTAGGGAAGGGTGGGAGGCAGGAAGGAAAGAAAGAAAAAGAAAGTGTAGGGAAGGGAGGGAGATGAAGGGTGAGAAGAAAGTGGAAGGGAGGGAACGTGGAAGGGAGGAAATGAATGTAGGGAAAGGAGGGATAGAGGAAGGAAAGAAAAAAGTATAAGGAAGGGAGGAAGGAAAGAAAAAAGTATAGGGAAGGGAGGAAGAGAGGGAGGGAGATAGGAAGGAAAGAAAGAAAGAGTGTAAGGGAGGGAGAGGAAGGAAGGGAAGAAAGAAATAGCGTAGGGAAGGAAGGAAAGAAAGATAGAAGGGAGAGAGTTCCAAAAACTGCAGGCACTTAAAGTGTACTTGTTTGGCTCTGCGCATGCTCAGACAATCAGGAAACTAACTAGAGATTGCCTCTGATCCCTTAAATTGTTTACCCAGAACTCTGTGCGTCTCTTGCCTTTCCTGACTGTAATGCATCTTTCCCAGCCGTCATGTACCTCCTTGCGGCAATTCAGCCTTTCCTCTTTTCTTCTCTTTCCGGATAGCTGGTTCCCCCATTAGGAAGCATTTGATAGTTTACGCTCTCTCTGCTCAATATATTTCTCTCCTGCCACCCTCCCTGTTGCAGAGCACACTCTCTGGCCTCTTTTGGGACTTAACTCAACCCAGGGATTCTGAAGACTATGTTTTCCAAGCCTGAGAAACTATGTCTCCCAGGACTGCCATTAAAAATAACTCTTTACCCACTGAACACCCATATGTTCTAAAATTGTTTTCCTTATCTGTTCCCATCCTTGCAATGTGTGACCTTGCCTTTTTGTTCCAAAGTCCGCCTAAAAGGCCAGTCTGCATGTTCCCCTTTCCCCACTCTG